CAGTCCAGCCAGGGATAAGTGAGGCAGACTATGTTTAGGGCACCTTTTCTAGCCCCCTCCCCATGTGGGGTGAGCAGAGTGGGTCCTCAATAGGGCTGCTCAGTCGCGGATACAGCTGCCGAACTACTCAACTGCCTCGGACCTTGAGGTAGAACGACTGAGTCCGTACCCACCGCCCATGTGCCAGTCTGTGACTAGGTGCTTCCAGATTTCACAGTCCTGCCCCCGTCGCCACTCGCTGATCGCCATGGGACTTTGGTTGCATGGTTTTTGTTTTCTTTGGAAGACACCTGTGCATGGGTTTTTTTAATGTGTGGAGGTCAGTGCACAACTGATCAACACACAGACTTCACAGAGTGAGGTTCCACTGGTGATGTAGTTTAACACAATGACCGTGGCTTCTCAGTCTGTTGCAGCCTTCTTCCGCCTTCGCAGCCGTTGTAACATGTGCCATGTTATCCTCCGCCTGCTCCGCCGTTGAGGTCTTTGGGTCTTCGGACTGTGCTTGGTCTGGAACCTCCCCCGCGGCCACTCCTGGGAGTGCACGACTCCAGTTGTTGTGCCTACAGGTTCATTGGAACGCGCAAGCCCCCTCACCACGACAAGGTGACAGTCCATCGAGGGGGCCTTTTGCAAATGCTGACATATTAATGTTCCCTTTTCTTCAGCTATACTCATGTCCTGAAAAAAACCTGAAAAAAGTTTTTATGGAAACTTTCAGGGATAATACTTGTTCTTGAACGTGTTCTTGAAAATGCTATTTTGTTGAAGGCCCAAATATCCCATTAATGCTTTTGTATTACCCATACCATGAAACAAATGCCTTGGAGCTTCTGCTAATGGAAACATTTTTCATCTCAGTTAAGAACTTTCTTAGTCATGCATAGCAGAATCTAAATCTTTATTTTTCCCCAGAGCGGAACTATTTATAAAAGCATACCAACCTGAGCCGCCTTTTGCCAGGTACTTGTCCCTTGCATAAATGACTGAATCCAGCATTGACTCAAAGAGAAGGAAGTAGCCCTGTGAAGTGAGAGACAAATGGAGACAATGTCATGACCGCATATACCAGTTTCATGAAGTACTGTATCAGGACACATTTTACAATGTAATGTTTGTAAATTGCAATTTAATGTTTGTAAATGGCAAATATTGGAAGCATAATGTTCCCCACAAAGGTGCATATATATATATATATATATATATATATATATATATTTAAAAACCATAGTATTTGAAACTGCAAACAAATATTTATAATCTAAATAATACAGGCAGTCCCCAAGTTATAAACATTCGACGTATAAACGAGTTATAGCTAAGAACAGGGATGAGACAACAGGAAGTGAGAGAAATCTACCCCTAGGAAGGGAAATTCATTCCATAAAGAGTTATTTATCATGGGGAAAAGGTGTCTCAACGGCTAATATCACCAATCCTTGTTTCCACAAGCCAAAATCTTCAAAATCCAATTTTGGGATAGAAAGTAAGGTGAACTATTCTGAACAGAGACAAAACACCACAAGGATGTGCTATCAAAAGCGCTCTCTCTCTCACCTGTTCCGACTTACAAACAAATTCAACTTAAGAACAAACCTACAGAACCTATCTTGTGCCTGTATTTTAGTTTCCAAAATATCATTATTAAAATACTACATTATTTGATTTGAAGTTAGTAATTTAAAGTAAATTTCATTATATATCTTCGAGATAAATGTATACTTACAGTCTCCTAAAATAAAGTACCATAACAACTGTCTCACTTTTAGACACTGTCTCCTAGAACCAAACATTAAAATCATAGAATCTTTGAGTTGGAAGAGACGTCAAGGGCCATCCGGTCTAACCCCCTGCCAAGAAACAGGGAAATCACATTCAAAGCACCCCCAACAGATGGCCATCCAGCCTCTGTTTAAAAGTCTCAGTAAAAAGGTTGAATTCTCCAATTCTGGTTGTTTCTCCACCCCTGGGTTTAAACTGCCTTGATTTAAACTTATCCGCCCTATTCTTTATTGCTTTCCTATTTTGATGTCATTGACTCATAGATTGGAAAAGCACAGGACGCATCCTGTCAAACCCCTGCCATGCAAGAACACATTATAAAAGGGCTCCCAACAGAGGGTCATCCGTCCTCTGTTTAAAAACCTGCACAGAAGGAAACACCATTACACTCCAAAGCAATATATTCCATTGTCAAATAGGTCTTACTATCGGGAATTTTTTCCTTATTACTTTGCAATTGCCATATTGGCTTTTTTATTGGAATATATCAGAAACCACATATTTGAAGAGATTTAGCTATAAACGGTTTCAATGGTAGTGTGCAAGTTGTATATTATATAAATATAAATAAATAAATATAATAATATAAGTTTAGAAATATTTGTGTATAATATGTAACTAATGAAGTGTTACGGAACAGAATCAAACCGCAATTTATGTTAGCAAGCACTAGTAAGCATTAGTCAGCACCCACATTCTGAACAATAGGAGCAGGTCTTTGAATAATTCCTGCCTCAGTAGAAAAATAATAGGACAAACTGAAGTTTAGATTCTGTCAGCCTGCTTTAACTCTAGCAGGGAACAACAAGATCCCATCTGTAAACTTGGCCATGATATTTGAAATTTCTAGTTCCATTATAGATTAGAAGAATTTTTGCATATTGTCAAAGTCCTAAAACCATTAAACATACAGTAACTTAATAGAAATAAAACATCTCTGTGAATGATGAAGTTAGAACATTTCTAATAATTATGGATATAACAACAGTCTAGAGCACAGTTTCTTAAACTATGGGCTGTGACCTCAAATGGGATTGCTTTAACTGAATGTTAGGGCTGCCTTCCCTTCCTTCTCTCTCTCTCTCTCTCTCTCTCTCGCACATACATATCTTTCTGTCTTCCCTTCCCTTCCGGCACATGTATCTCTTTCACCTTTTTTCCACCCTCTATCCTTTATATACTTGGGGTCACGAAAAGAATTCTTGGGTAAATAATGGAATCGTAAATCAAAAAAGCTTAAGAAGCCCAGGTCTAGAACACAGGAAGTTGCTATATAGAGTCAGACCATGGTCTATCATGAACACTCAAACTGGCCTGGTTGCACCACTATAGTTCATGTAAACTGGACTCTGCAATATCTATAACTGAACTTCCATAATTTGACAGTGTCCAAGGTCCTATTGTACTTCAAGGATAGACATGTTCCACTGGCATGAGAATTGCCCAGAGTGCATTCCCTGACAAAGTCTAGCTCTATCTAGAGCTGCCTATCACATCAACGTCATTCATCAAGGGGATCTTCTAAGCAAAAGCTTTATAGAAAGAATAGCTTATACTGTTTTGAAAGGTGATGATCCAAGAAAAAGTATGTAAAAGTAGAAAGATCTGCCTGTGTGGAATGAGATACAAATAGTAATAGATGTTTCTATCAATCAAGGAACATAATATCATTTAAGACAGTTGGCATTAGTCATATGTTCAAACAAACATGCATAACCTGGAAAATTTTATTTGGTAGCAAACACAGTCATACATTCATGAACCATTTTTTTTCAGGGATGCTGACGCTGTCCCGTAGAGAAAACTGCCACTTAATGGATGCTATATGACCTGGGAGGCACTGCTTGAAGCAATGGTTTATGAAGCCAACCTTTTTTTGACCAGGGACCACTTTGATAAGGAACCACTTGATGAGGAATAATTCTCAACATTAGTACCAAAAGGGTTACAAATCAGTTTTTGGTCAACTTTAAAGACTGAGGAATCTATATAACGACCAAGTAGCAACAGTAAGAACAGACCATGGAACAACAGACTGGTTCAAGATTGGGAAAGTAGTATGGCAAGGCTATATACTCTCACTCTACCTATTACACTTGTATGCAGAACACATCATGCGTGTTTGAGGAATCCAAGGATGGAGTTAAAATTGCTGGAAGAAACATTAACAACCTCAGATATGCAGATAATGCACTTTGATGGCTGAAAGTGAGGAGGAGCTGAGAAGCCTTCTAACCAAGGTGAAAGAAGAAAGAGTAAAAGCTGGGTTGCAGTTAAACATTAAAAAAAACCAAGATTATGGCAACCAGGCTGATTGAAGATAATGATACTGGGGAAAATGGAAGGAAAAAGGAAGTGGGGCCAACCATGGACAAGATGGATGGATGGTATACTTGAAGTGACTGGCTTGACCTTGAAGGAGCTGGGGGTGGCCACGGCTGACAGAGAGCTCTGGCGTGGAATGGTCCATAAGGTCACGAAGAGTCGGAAGCAACTGAACGAATAAAAAACAAAAAAGATTGGATTTGTGGTGCTGATTCAGAAAATTGCATTGAATAGACCACATCAGGTCTGGTTTCTGCTACAGAACGTATGCCATGATCAGCGATAGAGAAGGAGTGGCAGGTGGCATAAAAAGAGCAGAAATAAAATAAAATAAATAAAGAGGAAGGAGGTTCACAGACCAGATTTTCGTCCTCATGGCCCACTGGTGGTTTGTGGCCCACAGGTTAAGAACCACTGGTTTAGAGTAAGGGATAAGCTACATCCAAGTCAATTTTCCCCTGGCAATTATTCTGCAGGTACATCATTGCATCCAGGAGACTGAAAAAGATATGTCCATCCACAAGCATGGTTCATTTCCCAAGTATTTTTGTGTGTGTTATTTTTGCAGCACAGAAGGGCAAGGGTTGACACAATTTTCCTACTGACTTACAATGAACAGCACTTTTCCAAGCCAAATACCTTCCAGTATGCAATTTGTATCAGAAAACTAGGACAAATTCCTCCTCCAATCAGAAAAACATTGTAGATTGAGACCCATGGGTTGTTTTTCTCCAATTAAGCACACTTGTTTAACTGCAATTTTCCCCATTAAGTACACTTGTTTGAATGCTCAACTAAACATGCTGTTTAGCCCCAAGGCTCTTCTTTTTTTCTGACAGAAAACTACCCAGTACAGCTAAGAAGGTAGTATTGCCCCTCTTCCTGAAGCAAGCAATTATATCTTATAATCTTATAAATATATGAAGATTTGTAGGTTGCATATCTTACTGCATTTTAGGCTTCTGGATAAAACCCAACTATGGTTTTTCTGCTTTCTCACATACAAGGCAAGCCAAGTGATTTTTGCCAGTCCATCCTAACCAGCGAAGCTCTATAATACCGACTGGAAAGTCAGCTGATTCTATAAAAGGAACACTCCAGAAATGCCTTAAACAGTACAGCAGCTAAGATACAAAATACGGAACAGAACACTGCAGCAAAAGGAAGGTGTCCTCTCTTCCACAAACAAAAATGCTTTCTGTCTGGCCAAAACCATCACTGGATACCACCCACTTATGGTTTTACACTGTCAGTTAATGGGCTCCTCCTGTGTACAAAAAAATAATGCTACCATTCAGTAGCATCAGTCGTTCTCCCGCTTCAGTTCTGGAGGCTCTACCCGATTCCATTCTTCCTCAAGCAATCTCATGCTCCTGCAAGGTACAAGAATTGTCCCTCATTTATTACCACTCTCCGAATACTCTCTCTTTGTGTGGTGCTGACTGCTCTTTGTGTGGTGCTCATCTCTAGTGTAATTTAGAATGTAATTTCACAGGCTACTGCATCACCTGTAGGGATGCCATCTGGTGAGAGAATTACACCTGACATCTTCTCCAATGATGCTTTGAGACTCTCATGCATCCACACTGACAAGATTCAGATATCTGAAGGAGGGACGACCCCAAATCCTTGCATTAGCCCCTTCAAAATTAATTACAGCAAATGGTTTTGCATAGATTGGTGAGAAGAATATCAATGTTTTAGGGCAGGAGCCAAGCTAAGACTTACAAATGGCATATCCACTACAAGATGAACAAGGAAAGGGAGATGTGAAGGCCAAGGGGGAAAAATAGGAAAATTTGGAGGGGTGAGATGTGGTGAAGCGTTGTGTTTCACTTGTCCTGCAAAGACTTTTGTTTTCTGGGGAAAAACTGAAAATATGTATTATGGATATTTACATAAAGACAAGGGATCCTGATATTTGCCGCCCCAAAAGAAATACGGTATGTAAGAGAAACTCTTTTATGTAAGAGTATATACAATTCGTGGCCATGCATTCCTTTTCTCAATTTGTTTTATGGAAATTAGTTTTATTTCTGCTTCACATTATGGAGAACTAGCAGAGACAAAAAACCCCTATTTGTTTTACTAATGTCATTTCCTCTGTTTTTATTATCAGTTTTTTTCACCTGGTCCTCAAACAGACAAAACCAAAGAGGATACTTACAGTTCTAAAACTGTGTGGCTCCATTTGTAAGATAATAAAAGTAATAATAGTAATTTTAAAATATCTGAAGTTCAATTTGTAACTATATTCTGAATACCATGTAATTTTCATAACTCAGACATGATAACTGTATCCCACACGGTGTGTTTATGGAATTTTATGTTATTAAAGGAACAAAGTGACATTAATTCTAATAAAATATTTTTTGACATTTCTGGGGTTTTTTTTCAATTATTTCAAAAAATTCATACATTTTATACCTCTGGAAAGAAGTGCCATTTGTAACAATAGGGGTGGTCTTAAAGTGGTTTTCCTGTTGTTATTGGACTTCGACCCTCTGCATGCTTTCAGAACATTTTTCTTACTACATTAATATCATTCTGCTTAGAGTTCATATTGAACTACTATCAATTTTCTTGGGTACCTCCACTTTTCATCTGTTCCTATTTCTTGATCAATTACTGGCCCAGAACCAACATATATACCTTTGGCCAGCATCAAGGGTAACTATACAACCAAAATTGCCAAGGCTAACAATGCGCTATACAGCCAAAATTTCTCCTAAAAAAATTAAAAGCCTTGGGTCTTGTAAAAAGAAGTACGAGACAAGAATTTTATCTCTAATACACCCTGGTTTTGCCCTGTAAGGGCTGGACCTGTATTTCCATGCAACTCCATCATACAATGGAAAGCCTGGTTTGAGAGGTCACAAGGACACTTTGCCCAGGGCTACCTTAAGGTGGTGATGACCTTGCCAACTGTCAACTGTACAATTTTTCAGGTGATGCTTTAAACTTCAACCATAAAATAAACACAGTATTGTGGACTGGATAGCCTATGAAATCTCTTCCAACTCTATGATTCTACAGAAATATACAGTTTTCTAACAGTTCTTGATTACAGAAGATATGGAATAGCTTCTGAAGGCAACCATTTTGTCTCTCCATATTGGGTGAGTTAAGAAAAAAAAGGATGAAAACAAAAAAGTGATAAAGCTAGTGAAGAAAAAATGAATTCTGCTTGTTTTGCCATCATTTATTCTTACCAGGCTAACTAAACAAGGTAAGAGATGCAACAATGAAAAACATGGGGAAAATGTAGCAAAGCCCTTGCTCCCAACTACATTCACACAAAAATTATTTCCCTTTACAGGAAAAAATGAATATTCTGGGAAACTAGCACCACCACACTGCACTGCCGCTCTCATTTCAGTTAACTACTGTATGTAAAATTACTCTAATTACTGTAAAACATCATTACCTCTTAAAATTCTGTACCTCAAGGGAACAGAAGCACAATTCTGCCTGCATACAAAGCAGTCTTGATCACAAAGCATGTTCACCTAGATATATAGCATACACAATACTCAACACAATACTCAAGGTGCATTTTTTAGCTTCTAGCTGCTGACAAGTATAAGCACAAAGATGTACATTGAACAGAGAAAACTTCTAACAATTTAATGCTACTTGATGGCAAAGCTACTTACATTGTGTAATAGTTGTATTTTACTTAAATATATGATTGAAATCTTTAAAAATATTGGAACTATATCATAATTAATACAATGTAATATCTGTCTTCCCATTTTCAAACAGTAATGAAACAGCTATGATGGTAAGATGAGTCACTCTACCTATCTTCTGTGATTCCAAAGAAAATTGTATTTGGGTGATTTAAAATTATCTACTATATGTTATTTTCTGTTTTCTACTATGGACACTTGACAATAGAATCACATGCAATCATATGCCCATTTCACTTAGCATAATAAGACTTAGTCCCAAGTAAATGCACCTGAGATTTCAACCTGACAGGTTCTCAGTAAAGATAACAATTTAACCTTCGTGGACAAAAGCAAGGATACTGTCAACAATGTGGGGAATATTTTATTAAACCAACCCATACCTGCATATGGTTCATAACAGTACACTGTCCCCCGAATAAACCCACACATGTGAATATTGAAATGACTTTATTCCCCTTACTTGTATCATAGCGCATTTTTTATTCTAGTACCCTTTTTGCAGTTAATAAAAGACACCATTAGCTAAAATCAGTAGACTCTAAGGAGCATCCTGTTCTTTCTTTGGGGTCTTTTTGGTTTTCAAAAAGAAACCTACACATGGTTAAAAAATAATTCAGTGGATGTTTGGTGGCAGAAATTGCAGAAATGGCAGTTCTGGAAAATTACCCTGCCCAAAACAAAATAGCAAAACTAAGGACTCAGGTGTAGTTTGTGGATTAATATTTTTTAAATTTATGCAATTTGGGTTTCATAATGTTTGTTGATGACAGAAAAATTATGATCTGCCACACCTTGAGATAGCAGGAGCATTTTTACTATGCAGAAGAGCTACACAGTCCAATTTTCTGTAATTTCTGCAATTAAATGTGTATCTAGAAGAAAAGTTCCATATTACTGAATTAATATAGGTCATTCATGCCTCTCTGTTGAATGGATAGATGCCAGCAAGGGTAACATTTACCTACAGGAGTGAAACCACAAGGAAATATAGGAATAGTGTGTGTTCCAAGTACAAGAGTTCAGCTTCAACGGAATCCTATGAATAGCTGCCTTAATCCCTAAATTACTAAGGGAAGCTCTACCGAAGTATTCCACCTAAATGTACGGAGAACTTCCTGTCGCTAAGAGATATATGGCAGGGGCACCAGATATCTCAAGGTGTGGCAGATCACAATTTTTCTGTCATCAACAAACATTATCAGAGACTATCAAGTGCTAGAATTTACTATACTGTTCTGCAATTAATAGAGAACTGTAGACTATGAATTTGCACCAGAACTCACATATTCCAAACTTCTCAATATTTTTGTATTATACTGTATTTTTTGGCCTTGGATTTTCAGGGTAACTTCTACAGGGCAAAGCCAAACACATGAACAGACAATTTACTTGAAAGTTGCTAAGACAATGTTTTGATACAAGGTGAGGTAGAAATATGTTAACAAATAAATTATAAATAGAAATCTTTCTTTTTTTCCTTTAGAGGAAACATTTCTTGCATGCGAAATACTTTTAATACAGTAACAAAACTCACGAATATCACATCGAGTTCTTTTGATAAAGTGTGATTCACATTTATTAATATACCATCTATTTATACCCTTACCATCCACTCAGATATGATCACGTCTACTTTTTCAACAGGCAAATCAACTTCTTCGATTCTTCCTCTGATCAAAGAAATGGAACCTTCAAGTCCATTCAGCCTGCAAAACACAGTAATAAGGATATGTTATGCATATCTTTAGTATGGTTTATTTTAAGGTGTTCCAATAATACCGCTAATGAAGCAATTCATACCATCTTTTTTGTGAGACTGGATTGTCACATCATGACAGCTTTGTCACTGAAACTTAGAGCCAGAGATGAGTGATGTATGCAAAGAAGGGTAGATCCATAAATATACTATACCATGAGGACTACAAGCAGTGCCTGGTTAAGTTTTTGTGAACAATTATTATAATCTCGTACTACCAGATGGTTGTTTCTTGGAGCAGTAGTCCAAAACAGTTAGACCTTCAAAACTGAAGGGCGAGTCTAGTTACTTGAATCTGTTTCCTCCCCTGAAAACTTACAATCCGGTGATAATGTTCAAGTGATGAAGCATATAACAATACTATTTTGGCATTTTTTTTCGGGTACAACACAGCATTTAATAAATGCTTTCCAGTAGTAAACAAATGTTTTCCTCAAATGACGCAACTATGGCAGAAAGAGATGATTTACTTAGTTGCACTTCTGATCTGTGATTGCTAACTGCATTATTTTGGCTCTTTCCATTAAAAAATGGAGCTGCACTTCTATTTAATGCACAAACCTGAGATCAAGGTTTAATGGCATTTACTTTCTCCGAAGAACACCAAATCAATCTTTGTTTCATGTGCCATTATAATGACAGCTAATGTTAGAGAGGACAGAGTAATTATTCACACTGCAGGAATTTATTTCTCCACCACAGTTGTTATCTGTGCCCTTTCCTCAGCATTTGCTTTTCCTACAATCTCCCTACATCTGACTTCCAACACAACCCAGTAATCTCATTAAAATTTTAATATCTCAGAGGACAATCAGTACTGCGAAAGCAAGATATGGGTGAAAAGCTCCATGAACTCACCAATTCCATATTTAACAAGAGGGATCATACAGATGAGAATGTTCTGATAATGCTTAGAATTACTTACCACTCAGAATGTATTTAATAACCAAGAATACTTAGAATGACTAGCACACAAGCAGCACTCTTCAAAAACATCATGAAGTGAAATGCATGGAGCATGTAGGCAGCTCAAATAAACACAGGGAACATTACCAAAGGTGAACAGAAACAGTAATTCTCCACTAAGAAGTCTTGGGCATCAGAATGTTGCCTCCACAAACAAGGACTAAGAGTACATATGAAGAGCATAACATATGAGAAGAAACACCATCGTTAAGTGGCCTTGGTGTGGTAGACTACCTTAAACTCAGACAAAAAGCCATAGAATACAGGACTGTTCAGGCTGCAAAAATAGAAAAAGTGATATGGTTTGGAAGATTTTATATTCTGTTTCACTATTTTATTATTTAAAAACCCAAACTGGTTTGACACCTTCAAACATTTTGAAATTTCTAAAGACCATTTCAGGACCGGTAGAGGGCTAACAGGCACAGATTATTTTTGGATGAAGGGCACATTTGGCAGGCTATAAAAATAGGGAAATAACCAGGAAATAACTAAGGAATTTTTTTACATAGTTTTATTCAAAATTATAATTTCCTCTTGTTCCAAGTGGTCAAATAAAAATATTTCTGAAAACTGAACAAATTGGCTTGTGTCTTTGAACCTGTTGTGCCCAGTTCCAAATTAGAAGGGTTACGGCACTATGCTACTTGTGATAAACAATTATTTTGACTTTTAGAAGAAATGAAAGCAATATGTGTAGAACAACAATAATTTGTGTGTGTGTGTGTGTGTGTGTGTCAGGAATGACTTGTAAAACTGCAAGTCGCTTCTGGTGTGAGAGAATTGGCCATCTGCAAGCACATTTCCCAGGGGACGCCTGGATATTTGTGATGTTTTACCATCCCTGTAGGAGGCTTCTCTCATGTCCCCAAATAGAGCGCTGGACTTGACAGTGGGAGCTCATCTGTGCTCTCCCTGGATTTGAACCTCCAACCCGGATTCTGGGGCTTAATAATAACTACTACTACTACTACTACTTTATTTATAACCCGTCTTATCTCCCCGAGGGGTCTCAGGGCAGTTTCCAAGCAAAGTGGCAAACATTCAATGCCATAATAAAAACAGAACAAGAAACAAGAACAAGAAACAAGCCAAATCAAACAATGGTGCCTGGATATTTTTGACGTTTTACCATCCCTGTAGGAGACTTCTCTCATGTCCCCACATGGAGAGCTGGACTTGACAGTGGGAGGTCATCCATGCTCTCCCTAGATTTGAACCTCCGACCCAGATTTGAACCTTCATTGCACCTTCTGGGACTTAATAACAACAACAACAACAACAACAACATTATTTATAACCCGCCTTATCTCCCCGAGGGGACTCTGGGCAGTTTCCAAGCAAAGTGGCAAACATTCAATGCCATAATAAAAACAGAACTAGAAACAAGAACAAGAAACAAGCCAAATCAAACAATGGCTCTTTTAAAAATTTTGCCACTTAAAAAATAAATTAACCAGCACATTTTTTTAAAAAAGCTGGCTAAATCCCACTTTGGCCCTAGAATTCCCATGAGAAAAATACTATAATAGGACATCCAAGTAATAGGGTTATTTCAGTAATGACCTTTCAAAGTGTGAGAAAAATCAACCCTCTTTCTCTCCAACACAACCACTGATACATACCTGGCAAAAATGAACAACTGTACAGCAGGATTTACAGCTGTACAGCAGTGGACTTTACAATTAAAATTCAAGTCAGTTGGACAATTTCTTCTGTTTTGTATGCAAATATGTTAGCTGAGGTCCTAAAATATTAATTGTGAAAGCATTAAACATCCTTTTCTCTGAGAATTGATGAAAGGTCACTGTTGAAATCCAATCTTCAGTGTTTGTGAATGTATTTGAAATAGGTTAATGTGACATTTGTGCTGCTGTTGAGAGGAACGGTCTACAACTAGGTTGCTATAAATGGTTTTAATATGAATTAAAGACAAATAGCTTTACAGTCAGCAGATGTAACCTTGCAGCAATTCTTCATCAGGTAGCCCTAAAGATCATTTAATCATTCACTGGATTAATTCTTCTTAATTCCCTGATGCCTGAAGTATGCCATGCAAATCAAACAAATCCAAAATTGTTGCACAAGGCAGGTGTTTTCATAATTCACCCAGTTTCCATTACAGCAAAGAACTTACTCTATTCATATAACAAAATAACAAAAAATAATCAATCTAACCGTTTCCTAATGCAACAACTTAGCAGAGTACAAACCCAAATGAAATCAATAGAAAAATTGAATCATTGTTTCCCCAAATTGAAATATTTAAACTGCTAACATGTAACTGCTCTGTTTGCTGTTACCCACCAACAATAACTATGTGCAGTAATTTGAATCCACTCAATTGTTATCTTTGACTTTGCAGTGAATTGAAATAAAGGCTTTGCTGACAGTACAGAAAGTGAAAACTAACATCATTCTCCAAAAAGACAGGCAAGACACAAAGGACAATCAGTATTACCTTAAATATACTCTCAAAAGGTCAAATTCAGTAAGCACAAATGGGCACACAATGAGGTGTCACTCATGAAGAACACAGAAGGATTCTTTAAGAAAAACATCACAAAATACAGAGTGTTTCAAAATGATGGGCCCAATTTCAAAGCAGTATGTTTCACAATGACAAAAGGTTGCAAACAGTTTAATGAGTTATCAGGTTATCTGGTTTTACTAACCATTTTGAGTCAGAAACAAATCTAAAAAAAACACCTCCACAAATGGGGAATAGCTCATGAGGTCTTATGATGCAAAGTTGCCATCTTGAAAATGACTAAGGCTAAGGGCTGTTTGAGTGCCAAGTAAAAACATGTACTTGGTTTTAGAGCACTTATAAAGTACACATTGCACAATATAGTTTGTTTACAATACAGAAGAGGCCCATAGCTTGCATGCAGCTTCCAGGTCCCCTTGGTTTTTGGTTTGAATAAATAGCAAGGTTTTTAAATTGTTTTACCCCCAAATGCCCTCTGAGCCAGTCCCTGTTTCCTAAAACAAGATACATCTCTCTTAGGCCTAAAATAGCCCAGGGAATCCCAACACTAGAAGGTATTTGGGGACAATAAAACAAATATAGGGCATACAGCATTCCAAGATCTCTTAAAGAAGTGGTTCTCAACCTGTGGGTCCCCAGATGTTTTGGCCTACAGAAATCCCAGCAAGTTTACCAGCTGTTTCTAGGAGTTGAAGGCCAAAACATCTGGGGACCCACATCTGGGGAACTAGTGCCTTAAAGGGCTAATATGGCCCCTTACCCCACATGGTCCCACAGTTGCAAGAAGTATTGTAGTGCACACAAACATTTTCCGTCCCCACCAATCTAAGGTCAGCACTATGCATAATCATGGCCAATCAAGATTAAACAGAGTTTCATAATCTGTGCTTACTCCGGCTCGTTACTAATTTAAGACTATCTCTGAATATCTCCTACCTAATGATATCCATGGCCTGGTAGATAATTTCAGATTGGTCCACTCCAATCACCCTTTTTGCACCTGCTTTGGCAGCAAACATGGAGAGGATTCCAGTCCCACAACCAACATCCAGGACAACCTAGTGAAAAGGAAGTTGAACCATTATAACAGCATATTTAGCTTACACAATGAAGCATTACAGCTAAACCCACAACCTTCTTATTGAAAAATTCAAGGAAGATTCAAAAGTGGACAACGTATTCAGGTTACAAGGTTACATATGCATGTAGCTCTTGAACTATTTTGGTAACGTTCTACAAGCTGTTCTAAAACCTAGAACTCGGGTCCAAAGGGTTCATGAAATTCTAAGTGAATTTCTGAAATTAGTCAGAATTGTTCACAATTTCTGGCCTGCAAGTGTACTGTCCTTCTGAGGGAGAATTCCCTGGCCCTCCTGGAAAGAAAAAGCCATCGCACTCCAGACCTCCAACATACAAACACTGGCAGTGATTTAATCTCCATCAGCACTCAACAGGATCTTGGCCAATGCTGTTTGTCTTATTAGCCCTTCCTTGATTCTGTGTGACGAATAGTCTAGCACTTGCTAGATAAAAAGGTAAAGCCATTTCTTGCATTCAGAGACTTGTGTATAGTCTTGTGGACTGAGGAATATAATTTCTGGTTTAAACTGAGACATAGCTTAAACCAGTGGTTCTCAACCTTCCTAATGCTACACCCCTTAACAAAGTTCCTCCCCCCTTAACAAAGTTCCTCATGGTGTAGTGCCCCCCAACCATAAAATTATTTTCGTTGCTACTTCATAACTGTAATTTTGCTACTGTTGTGAATCATAATGTAAACATCTGATATACAGGATGTATTTTCAAACACTGAACCACATGTGGCTACTTCATAACTGTAATTTGCTGTTACAAATCGTAATGTAAATATCTGATATGCAGGATGTATTTTCATTCATTGAACCAAATGTGGCACAGATACCCGATATGCCCAAATTTGAATATTGGTGGGGTTTGGGAGGACTGATTTTGTCATTTGGAAATTGTGGTTGCTAGAATTTATAATTAACCTACAACCAAAGAGGATTCTGAACTCCACCAACGGTGAAATTGAACCAAATTTGGCACACAGAGCTCCCATGATCAAGAGAAAATACTGGAAGTGTTTGGTGGGCATTGACCTTGAGTTTGGGAGTTGTAGTTTACCTACATCCGGGAGTACTGTGGACTCAAACAATGATGGATCTGGACCAAACTTGGCACGAATACTCAATATGCCCAAATGTGAACAGTGGTGGAGTTTGGGGAAAATAGACCTTGACATTTGGGAGTTGTAGTTGCTGGGATTTATAGTTAACCTACAATCAAAGAACATTCTGAACCCAGCCCCCAATGGATCTGCACCAAACTTGGCACACCATCTACATGGCCAACAGTGAATACTGGTGGGGTTGGGGGGCCTGTTTTTGAATACTGGGAGTTGTAGTTTACCAACACCAAAAGGAAGAGAAGGACAGGCACAGAGATCTTCCGCCTTCTCTGCCAAAAGGGTTCCCAAGAACATCAGAAATATGTCTTTGGAGGCCCTTTGAAACCCCCCTCGCGACCCCCTTTGAAACCCCCCTGCTCATTGTGACTTCTGAATTCATCCTACCTAGTTTAGCTTTCTGACAATATACTTGTTTTATGCTCTTCTCGGGTCACTATAAATACATACAAACAGGGTTATTACCTACTGTACTTACAGATTACATATTCCAAACAAACACTTTTGCATCAAGTATCATCATGTAAAACTGTATTTCTAACTGGATAACATTATCATGCAAAAGGCAAATCAACTCTTTTCACCCAACCATCTGTCACACTAGGTCAACACAGAAGCAAGACAAAAGATTGACTTTGGGGATGATAAAAGAGAGAAGCTAGGTGACAGCTCTGACATTACATTCAATTTTCTATTAACCTCAAGAAATCCCTAAATATTTCACCTCACATTTCTGAAGCCACCCTCCAACAGAGTATTGTTAATGATCATTAATGTCTGATCAGTCACAAAATGCCAGAAGCGTGACAGGAGAAATTGCTGTACCAGGCTTTTGCTTAGAAAGGTATCAAAAACGTCTAACAAAAATAGAGCAAAATGTGCCTCAACAACCTGGCAGATTGGCACTCATTGTGCACGGTATGTGGAAAGCAAAAATGGCATGAAGTGTTTTTACAGTGCTCAAAGATGAGCAGAAAAGTGCTTGAATAACAGTCACATTGTCACTAAGTTTGAGACTAAGTGACAATGTGACTGTTATTCAAGATCACAGTCCAGAGCAGCCCTGGGCCACAGCTCAACTGTTGAAAACATGTTCTACATGTAGAAGGTCCTAGGTTCAATCTCTGGCATCTTCACATAGATCTAGGAAAGAATCCAGCCTGAAATCCTGCAGTGCCACTGCTAGCCTATAGCTATAGGTCAGTGATTTGACTTTGTATAAGGTTAAAAAGCTAAACTCTTTTGTTGTAACTACAGTTTTCATTTATCGTGTCAGAAGCAAATTGAGGGTACAATTGTAATCTATTTAAAAACACAAATGAAGTTAAAATATTAAATGTTCTTTGACCAGTAGCTGGCCACCTGGAGTGCCTCTGGTGTTGCTATAAGATCCTCCATTGTGCATATGGCAGGATTCAGACTGCATTGTAATAGGTGGTTTGTAGTTTTCTCTTCTCCACATTCACATGTCGTGGACTCCACTTTGTAGTCCCATTTCTTAAGGTTGTCTCTGCATCTCGTGGTGCCAGAGCACAGTGTGTTCAGCGCCTTCCAAGTCACTCATTCTTCTGTGTGCCCAGGGAGGAGTCTCTCATTCGGTATCAGCCATGGGTTGAAGTTCCAAGTTTTAGCCTGCCACTTTTGGACTCTTGCTTGCTGAGGTGTTTCTGTGAGCATCTCTGTAGATTTTAGAAAGCTATTTCTTGATTTAAGGCATTGGTGTACTGGCTGATATCCAAACAGGGGATGGGCCGGAGATATCACTGCCTTGGTCCTTTCATTATTGGCTGCTACTTCCCGGTGGATGTCAGATGGTGCAATATCGGCTAAACAGTATAATTTATCCAGTGGTGTGGGTGTAGATATCCTGTGATAATACGGCATGTAACTACAGTGAAAAAACAACTTTTCTTTGATCTCAGCTTACACTTGTCAAAACACTGCATTGTGTTATTTACCAGAAGGTGTGAGTTATAAAGAAGTGTCACAGGTGCATTAAATAACACACATACTCAAGTTCTGCATATCTTTATATCTCTTCATAACAGATTTATCTATATTTGTTCATAACAGATTTATCTATGTGTTCATAACAGATTTATCTATATCTGTTCATAACAGATATACCTCAGTTAATGAAATAAATGTGTTCCAGGACATTACTTGTGTAACGGAGAATATGGTAGACACCAGGAGCAAATATATTATAGAAAGACCACACACAAATAGCAAAGAACAATTCAACATGTCACAGCATACTTTTAAGTCAAAATTAAAAATATATACATGTTAAATGAAACAATAAACATGCCTTAAAAAACCAAAAAACCCAATTCTAAACCGTCTAGAGATGATCTGAAGACTTCTTCCATGAAGCCTTCTCAGGATGACTTTTATGTTTCACCAACTTCCACTTTCCTTAAGATTTCTATTTTACAGTCAAATCTGCAGACGTTGACTATGTTTTTAAAGAAAAAAAAATAGAGGTAGTTCATGAGTTAGGAATATCTGCCTGATTTTTCTCCCTTTTGTTCTTGATGCACGCTCAGTAAGGTTTTCTGAAGGAAGTCTCATTTAACTTACCTGTTGTAGGCATGTTCACATATCTACAGTAGAATTAGCTAGAAGATAATACAGTCATCCTTCAGATGCAATTTAAGGATTCATGAATTTGATCATTTGCAGATTGTTGTGTGTGCCATTCATTGCCCCTGCTGTTGCCCTACACATGACCAGAAATATGTTCTCTCCAGGCATTTGTAGGTTCCCCAGTGTGATTCTGCAGTCAGCTTCTATCAAGTATTGACTACAGAAGTGTGCTGGAAAACCTAGAAATCCTTAGAAAAATGTTTTTAGTTTTCCCACTTTTGTGAGGGTTCTGTGCCTCTAACCCATGCTGATGTGGAGGACCAACTATATAATACTGATCTTTCCCAGCTCTAGTGTTACCGCTTGCACTTTTACCACTGTCACACCACTGCAAAACCCACACCCAAAGGTTGTGTTCTGCAGCCCTCTTTCACCAGTCTCCCAAACCCAAGCCACTAAGAAAAACTTTCTGATAGACGAAGGATGTGGATGAAAAGGGAGACTAGGCAGGTGGAAAAGGGAGTGTCACCGTCCGTTGTAGTAGAGGCTGCAAGTAACGTTGCAAGTGGTAGTATGGGTGCCAGAAGGGGGAAAAGGGGTGTTCGTGAGCAGGAGTCAGATGAGGAACAGCAAAGGAAAAGGATCCGGGATATACTAATGGCACCTATCGATGAAGACTCATTCAAAGGATTCTCTGGTGACAAAGGGTCAATGAGTGAGGGAGAGGAAGGAGATACAATGGATGGCAATCGGGGAATGAAGAGGGTTACTCGGGAGCAAGAATCGGATGAGGAGCTTCAGAGGAAGAGGATCCGGGATATACTTACTGCTCCCACAGAGGGAGAATCATTTGAGGGTTTCTCTGGGAGTGATGGGTCTGGGAGTGATGAGGATGGGGATGACACATTGGACTGGACTAAGGTAAAGGAGGTTCAAGATGTATGTGCAGCGCCAACGTCTAGTGACACATTTATGTGGTTTTCGGGTAATGAGGATTGGCAACCGGGAGATACATCTGAGTCTTGGGGGGATCTAAGTCTTGAGTGAAGATGAAGAAGTTGGAGGGATGGAAGCAGAGGTTCATGTGTGGAATCAAGCACAGCTGCAAGAGTTAATGATGGGGTGGAGGTCAGCTCATCTTTGGATGATGATGTGTAAGATAAAAGTAGGCTCTGAAATGGGGACTCTTTGCAGAAGACAAAGTGTCGGTTAAGTTCGTGTATCATGTAGATTTGTCGCTGCCTGTTTTCGTGTTGGGCTTTCTGCAGCCTGGAGTTCCTGTGTGTTTCGACTTGGATTGACTTCTCGTGAGTGCGGATTTCTCCCTTCCTGAATCTTGGACTGACTTGACGACAATGCTGCTTGACGGACTTGGAAACGATGCTTCTTTGGACTACTTCTAAGACGACTTCTGGACTTCGGCTGGCTTCGGTTTTTCTTCCTGCGGTTTCTTTTTGCTCTTAACTATTTGAGTGCAGCACTGTTTGTTTGCTGCTAAATACTGTGCTTTAATCCGGATTTTTTCTCTGGTTAATCTGGATTGTATTTCTGTTTGCATTTTGAACCAAGTTTGGTTAGGTTTTTGAGTTTTGGCCAGAGACACTGAGGGTTAAGTGTTTCTGAGCTTCTGTTTTGGTTGCAATAAACTTTACTTTGGAACTTATATTTTGTGTGGCCTTTTAAGGCGTCTGTGTCTTGACACCGTCTGATGCTTTGTTAACTGTGTTTGCCTGTATTTGAACAAATTGTCTAATACAAGAGGGAAATGCTACAAATTATTTTGTTCATCCACAGTTTAGCTCCAAGGCTGTGCCAGATCTTCACAGCAGAAAAGTAGGGCATCACAGTTCCTCCAGGAATGTTTAAATTTTGATAAGACAGCATAAGTAAAACAGGAACCACCACTAATAATTTGCCAGAAGATTATCTGAATTAATCCAAAGATGAACATTGCCTAAGTGTGTGTATGTTACTTGTTTTGAAAGATGCTGCTATGAAAACATTTTATAATAAATCTGTTCATTTTTGTAAGGTAACTTAAAATATTGAAAATAATTCAAGCAAGCAAAGCGGTTAATTCAATTTTCAGTGTTATTACTCCTTGTGCTGATAGGAAAGTAATTAAAAACAAAGACAAACACGAATTGCACAATGTGATAAAGAAAAAGAAAGTTCATGGAAAGTAAAGTTCAAATTTTACACAATGGTGGATTGTTTAATTTGAAATGTTAACCAATGATTATTACAAACACAGGCAGTCCCCAAGTTATGAACAAGATGTGTTCTGTGAGTTGTTTCTTAAGTTGAATTTGTTTATAAGTCAGAACTGGTACTTTTTAAAGTGTAACTCTAGCCAATTTTTTTTTTTTTTTTGCTTTGGATAGCATAAGTAAGGGTTAACACTCTTGTGAGGATTGTTTTGTTTTGCTGTCTGTGCCCCAGTTCAGAAGATGATCACCTCATTTTCTATCCCTGTGATAATTGGATTTTGAAAAAAATGACTCGCTGTGGAAATAAGACTTGGTGATAAAGCTTCAGTGGAGACACCTTTTCCCCATGAGAACTCTTTCAAGAGTGAATTTTCCCTTCCTAGAGGTAGATTACTCCCACCTTCTGTTGTCTCAAGCCTGTTCTTGGCTATGAGTCATATGCAAGTTTAATGTTTGTAACTCAGGGACTGCCTATACTCAGTTGAATACATAGCAGAATAATTCAGAAGTCAACAGAAAACAGTTTTCCCCATATTAAACAAGGCCCATAACAACAAAGACACAAAAATGGCATGCATTCTTAGAATATCAAACGGACATCTGGTCCCATTTCCATGTGCTTTGGCAATGGAGCCCCAGGTGTGCCCCACAGAGGCCACTGCATGACATAAGGACATTACTGGTGAGACTCTATGGGCCTCAATTTCCTAAGGACATGAAAATGGAGCCCTAAAACCATCTTCAGGAGTCGGGTGTTACTCAACTCCAAACAGCAGAAAGAAGGGAAAGACGGACCTTGCCACAGAAAGGACATGGGATGGCTAGCCATCCCAGAAGATGGGGAAAGTTGGGAGGGAATGGGGTAAAATGGTTCCCTCCACTTTCCCTGCATGTCTGATGGAGTCCTTAGAACTATATCACTGCAGCCAGAACCATTACATTTAATTGCAAATTGTATGTATTAGTGGGCTGTGAATCTAGTTTCTATATTCTGTCCTCACAAAAATGGTACTTTTTGGAGCTTGCATGTACAGAAACTGTGTTTTGTTATATTTCATTACAAAATCTATGGTTTCCGTTTTCCCACTTTTCAGATGACAAAATCTAAGATACATATGGGGAGACAGATACAGTGCAGTAGTCTGTCATATCCTCTTTATTCTATTTGTTTGTTTATTTAAAGCATTTATATTCCGCCCTTCTCACCCCGAAGGGGACTCAGGGTGGAGCACAACATATAAATGGCAAACATTTAATGCCGAAACATAAAAAACAATAAAATCACTTATCTTGACGTTAAAATCCTCAAGTTAAAACTATCTCAACAACCATATCAAACCTGGCTGGCATACTAAGAGTTCTTATTGCCACCTCATTACACAGTCCCAAAGGCTCGGTTCCACAGCCACGTTTTTATCATCCTTCTAAAGGACAAGAGGGAGGGGGCTGACCTGATCTCATTAGGAAGGGAGTTCCATAGTCGAGGGGTAATCACTGAGAAGGCCCTGTCTCTCGTTCTTGCCAAACACACCTGTAATGGTGGCAGGACCTAGGGTTATTAACCTGGCTGCCTCTCGCCGGACTACTTGAAGCTTCCGAGCAGTCTTCAAAGGCAACCCCACATAGAGCGCATTGCAGTAATCTAACCTAGTTGTGACGAGAGCTTGGAACACCATGGCCAAGTCTGACTCCCCAAGGTACAGGCACAACTGGCACAAAAGTCTTAATTGTGCAAAAGCCCCTCTAGCCACAGCTGCAACCTGAGATTCCAGGCTCAGCGATGAGTCCAAGAGGACTCCCAAGCTGCGAACCTGTGCCTTAAAGGGGAGTGTAACCCCATCCAGCACAGACTGTAACCCTATGCCCTGTTCGGCCTTGCGACTGAACAGGAGAACCTCTGTCTTGTCTGGATTCAACTTCAATTTGCTCGCCCTCATCCAGATCATCACAGCGGCCAGGCACCACTTTAGAACTTTGACAGCCTCCTTAGCATCTGGTGGAAATGAGTGATAGCGTTGGACATCATCTGCATACAGATGTCATCAGACTCCAAAACTCCAGATGATATCACCCACTGGCTTCATGTAGATGTTAAACAACATGGGGAACAATACTGAGCCCTGTGGGACCCCACAGGACAATGGCTGTGGCGTCGAGCAAGAGTCCCCCAGCAACACCTTCTGGGTACGACCCTCCAAGAAGGACTGGAGTCACTGCAGAACAGTACCTCCAAGGCCCATTCCCACAAGGCAACCCATTGAAGGCCGCTGAGAGGTCCAGTAGAACCAACAGGGACACACTCCCCCTGTCGAGCTCTCTGTGGAGATCATCTACTATGGCGACCATGGCTGTCTCAGTCCCATGACCCCTTCTGAAACTGTGATGGATCCAGATAGTTAGTTTTGTCCAAGAACCCCTGAAGCTGCAAGGCAACCACACATTCCAAGACTTTGCCCAAAAAGAGGAGATTGGAAACTGGCCGAAAGTTGTTCAAATCAGTGGGGTTCAGTGATATTTTTTTTTCAACAGCGGTTTTATCACAGCTTGTTTTAAGCTGGCTGGAATTTTGCCTTTTGCCTATATTTACATTTTTTCCTTATGCAAACCCATAGCTTTTATATTTTTAAATTTTACAAATATGCCAAATACTGCAATTTTATATGATAAGTACGGTATGTTATGAATGGAGCACTTTGTGTTGCTAAAGCAATAAAATAAATTTAAGTTTTATATAAGGATAAATACTGAATATATGTCAATTTTCCTACTATATTCTACATTAACTAAAAATGTTATTTTTTTAAAAAAGAAATCAAACAGCTTGAATACATAGGGGCACTGGTCAAAACAAGACAATAGGATTTTAACTCCTTCCCAGGGGAACCGCATATGAATCGAATTCTTCAGGAATCTCCATGATGCATTTATCATACATTGTGTGATTTGGAAATTAATGTGAATTACTATAAATAAGAGTCATTGGCTCTATTTTCAATCTGTGTGTAAGAAAAGGAAGCAAGAGGAGCTTCTATAAAACCATGCCATTATTAATGAACACTCAAGATAGTGCAATGAACAGCAGCAATGCCGCACAGCTTTTCCCTTATCAGTGCTCTGCACTCTCTGGCAGCTGCATAATGTTCTCTGAGCAGTAGGACCCAAGAACACTCGATCAAAGCTTGTCAAAACATCATTCTCCCAGTTCTAAAAAAGAAATCTCATTTCAAGAACCTCTTATTACTTTAACTGGAAGAATATCAAGAGTTATAAAGTGGGCCTACTTACCTTATCTCTAAAGATGTGGGGATTTTGATATATGAAATCACGATAGCTTTCGGTGCGCACTTTATCCTAATTAAAACAAAATCAAAGCATTATCTTTTATTTATTTTGACATGGCAGCATTCTGAGCTATTTTAATTAGTTTTGAAAAATTTCCCACTCCATTACCATTTTGAAAAGGATTTTTCAGACGATCAATTTTTAAAGTTCAGATTTTGATCAGGAAGCATTGAATTGACTTTCTTTTTAGTATGCTAGTGAGCACAAGCACAATCACTTACAAATTAAACATATACAGTGTAAAATATTATTATTTATCACTTTAAAAGCAAAAAGTTAATTGTTAAAATTGCTTTTATTGTCTTGTTTTCCAAGTGGCATATTAGTAATAAAAATATTACAAGATTCTAACAACATTCTCCTTAGGTCTTATATCTAAGATGTGAATGTAAATGCTATATTAAAGTAGGCTGCATCTCCACTGTAAAAATAATGCAGTTTCACACCACTTTAACTGCCATGGCCAAATTATGTGGAATCATGGGAGTTGTAGTTGTACAAGGTCTTTAGCCTTCTCTGCCAAAAAGTGTTGGTGCCTCATGAAATTATAAATCCCAGGATTCCGTAGCATGGAACCATGGCATTAAATGTGGTACATTGATCCTACAGTATAGATGCACCCATATATATCATTACTACTGGTGCTCTTATCTTTATGGCTGTTACATACAATTTGGGGGGAAAGCAAACTGCTCAATTCCTTGGACATGAATGAAGAATGTGTGGTCCTCCAAATGTTGCTGGACTGCAACGTTCATCATTCTTCACTGCTGACTACGCCTCTTTAAGAACATCTGGAGGACCACACATTCCCCATGCCTATCCTAGGAGGAGATTTCTAAAAAGTCAGCCCATAAACACCTGGAAAGGTACAAAGCTAAATAGTTGCAATGAAGGTTTCTAGGCCACTCTACAGCCAATTGTTCAGTGCTTGCATAATGTGCATAGAGAGGTACTGGAGGTGTTCCCATTTGTGCACCTGAATAGACGTAGTACACTTATATGTGAGCTGGCTGCATATCCCATTTCAGCAACCAACATCATTCCTTCAATATGCGTAGGCAGGGAGACAAACTACCCGCAAGCCATATGCTTGACTATCCCCAGAAACGACTAGAGAACCAATCAGCAATGAAAAGGAAGACAGTCCTCGTGATTTTATTTTTAGCTCTTCTTGACAGTGATAAAAAGTATAAAGCACAAAAGAGAACAGCTTTTTTTTTTTAAAAAAAGGAGAGAATCTCAGCTTGCATACAAATTTGACACTGCATCAGTAAGATGCAATACCAAAAGGATAAAAGGACGATTCTATGCAGCAGCAGGCATCCTAAAACTTAAAGGCATGAAGGCAAAGTCACAGTTAAAGCTATTTAACCATATTAGTGCTTTTTAAAAAATGAAGATTTGAAATCAGAAATTGAGGAAGAAATCTGAAATATGTATAAGAAAATAATCTATTTTTAAAGCCCTGAGAAGTATCCAAAGAAACATATTATCGCTTGAATTTGTTGGTATGCTCTACCATCAGGAGACTCTGCTATGCAGCTTTCTGTACTGTGGAATGCGCAGAATATGAACTGCAGTGCCAAGATTACACAATGCCCATCCCTGGGAGATCTGGCTATCCACCTCACTGGGCTTGTCCAGATGGCCATTTTAAATAACTTCACTTGCATGTGATTCTACAACATTGTTCTTTGGGTGCTTTCGTTTTTACTGCTGCTAGATTTTAAAGCCACATGCAGCTGCTGTGCTCCAACTTGCACCAATGGTCCAGCAACAGCATACCAGATTTCAGACAGGGTTTTTCCCACTGTACATCATGGACCAAACCTGGAAGCTAGAGATACAAATCTCTAATGTTATATTACAGCATTTATCAATTTTAATTATTTAATTAGTGTTGCATTATACTAAATGAAAGCCATCCTTTGAAGCCAGCTTTAGAAGGAGATATGGGATATAAACTTTTAAATAAATCTTAAAAGAGTCATGGTGTCGATTAATGGAAAGATTAGTGGGAGGTCTCTTTTGATTAAATATGCAGAACTTTACATTTAAACCCTCTCAACCACAAAAGCAATCAGCTGCAAAGCTTTCAGACTTCGGTTGTCACATTTATTTGGTGCCTAAACTTAATCAATAGATTTTCAACTGATGTCTCCACTCCATGCATGGTCACTCATGGAAGTGTCAATCATTTATATTGGGGGCACTGTGAGCTCTTTTCAGTTTTTCAACATCAGTTCTCTATTTCAACACAGTGCTCATAATCAAACACTCTGTGTAGCCTGATAAGCAACAGCAGCAAAACTCCTGAGTCTAAAGGAAATACGGACAACGTTGCAGTCCAGAAACAGCTGGCAGGCTGCATGTTCCTACCACTGTCTTAGCCTTAGCCACAGCTAACACACATAAACCTGTAAAGGTTCAATATCAAATGATCAACAGGAGCATTACATGCTGTTCTACATAATGTATTGCTGTTGACATTAAATGAGGTTTGAATTATGGTGACACTGTGAAGACATGTTGTTACAGTAGCCCTTCTAATGTCTTGCAAGCTCAGGGTCATGACTTCTCTAAATCTATCTATCTGGAATGCAGTCTTCCTCTTTTCTACTGCTTTCCACTTTGCTAATGTGTCATGTCTCATTACATGTCACACATATGGGTTGTTGTAGGTTTTTTCGGGCTATATGGCCATGGTCTACAGCAGCGGTTCTCAACCTGGGGGTCGCGACCCCTCAGGGGGTGGTTTGGCCATTTTCTGGGGGTCGCGAAGCCGCATTGGCTGGCCACGCCCCCTCCAAAATGGCGGCCGACCCCCTGCGCCACTGGCATTCCCCCGCGTGAAGCCATCCGCCTGTCCCTCATCTCCTTCTGATGGCAGAAGGAGGCGAGGGACGGGCGAGCGGCTCCACGGGCGGCTAGGCCACACGCGAAGCCATCTGCCTGTCCCTTGCTTCCTTCTGATGGCAGAAGGAGGTGAGGGATGGGTGAGTGGCTCCTTGGGCGCCCCTCGCCTGCTCTGCTCTCCCGCCGGCCGGTGGGGGGGCGGAGCAGGCGAGGGCCTTTGGAGCAAGGCCTTCTCCAGGTGCCCTTGCCTGCTCTGCTCTCCCGCCGGCCGGTGGGGGGGCGGAGCAGGCGAGGGCCTTTGGAGCAAGGCCTTCTCCAGGTGCCCTTGCCTGCTCCGCTCTCCCGCCGGCCGGTGGGGGGGCGGAGCAGGCGAGGGCCTTTGGAGCAAGGCCTTCTCCAGGTGCCCTTGCCTGCTCCGCTCTCCCGCCGGCCGGTGGGGGGGCGGAGCAGGCGAGGGCCTTTGGAGCAAGGCCTTCTCCAGGCGCCCTCGGCTGCTCCGCTCTCCCGCCAGCCGCGGGGGGGCGGAGCAGGCGAGGGCCTTTGGAGTAAGGCCTTCTCCAGGCGCCCTTGCGTGCTCCGCTCTCCCGCCGGCCGGCGGGGGGGGGGGAGCAGGCGAGGGCCTTGGGAGCAAGGCCTTCTCCAGGCGCCCTCGGCTGCTCCGCTCTCTCGCCGGCCGGCAGGGGTGCGGAGGAAGCAAGGGCTCTTCGTTGCAGGTGAACTATAAATCCCAGCAACTGCATATCCCAAATGTCAAGGTCTATTTTCCCCAAACTCCACCAGTGTTCACATTGGGGCATATTGAGTATCTGTGCCAAGTGTGGTCCAGATCCATCATTGTGTGAGTCTGCAATGCTCTCTGGATGCAGGTGAACTACAACTCCCAAACTCAAGGTCAGTGCTCACCAGACCATTCCAGTATTTTTCGTTGGTTGTGGGAGTTCTGTGTGCCAAGTTTGGTCCAATTCCATCATTGGTGGAGTTCAAAATGCTCTTTAATTGTAGGTGAACTATAAATCCCAGCAACGACAACTTCCAAATGACATAATCAATTTTCCCTCCAACCCCACCAGTATTCAAATTTGGGTGTATTGGATAACGTAAGGTAAAAGTTTTCCCCTGACATTAAGTCCAGTTGTGTCCAACTCTGGGAGTTGGTGCTCAATTTCTAGGCCAAAGAGCCGGTGTTGTTCATAGACACCTCCAAGGTCATGTAGCTGACATGACGGCATGGAGTGCTGTTTTTGGATATTTGTGCCAAATTTGGTCCAGTGAATGAAAATACATCCTGCATTTCAGATTTTTTACATTGTGATTCATAACAGTAACACAATTATAATTAGGAAGTAGCAATAATAATAATTTTATGGTTGGGGGTCACCACAACGTGAGGCACTGTATTAAGGGGTCGCGGCATTACGAAGGTTGAGAACCACTGGTCTAGAGGCATTCTCTTCTGATGTTTCACCTGCATCTATGGCAAGCATCCTCAGAGGTAGTACCTGAAGTTTCGCCTGCATCTATGGCAAGCATCCTCAGAGGTAGTACCTCTGAGGATGCTTGCCATAGATGCAGGCGAAACTTCAGGAGAGAATGCCTCTAGACCATGGCCATATAGCCCGAAAAAACCTACAACAACCCAGTGATTCCGGCCATGAAAGCCTTCAACAATACATTGTCTCACATATGTTAACCTAAGCTTAGTCATTTGGCTTCTAAGGGGAATTCAATCTTCATTTGTTTTAGGACACATTTATTTGTCTTTTGAGCAGTCTGTGGTATCAGCAAAAAGATCATCCAGCATCAACTTGTGAATTAGTTGAGTTTTCTTATAAGTTTTTCTTAATTGCCCTGCTTATTTGTTTATTGGATTTATATCCTGTCTTTCTCCTGAGATGGGGATTCAAGACAAAATAATATAGCATAGATTATCCTGACTCTGGTATTCAATTACATATGCCAATATCTTTTCCCCAAAGACTTCAGTAATCACTCAAGAGTGACTACAAAGGTGCTGTTAATTTCACATTTTGCACACACACACTTAAATGGATGCATTGTATCTGCATGAGATGATGTAACCATGAATTATGTTTCAATTATTCCTTTCTTATATTGATAGATTAGTAACCCCAACTCCCCCCTCCCCCCAA